CACGTAAATTCTCCTTCCTGGGTGCACGTGAAAGGTGGGCGCACTGGGCTGGTTCATGTACTTCGTGAGAGTTGCACTTATGGTCACTTGGGAGACCTTCCTGTCACATCCTAGGTGCTCTTCCTTCCTAGTTTGTGGCTGAGACAGTGAGGGCTTGGTGCCTGGCTGGGAGGGAGGGAAAGAAGGTGGAGAGCCAGCCGCTCCTCTGGGGACAGGAAATGTGGACTTTATGGGAAGCTGGCAGTCTGCTTTGCTGGAACTGAAGGCATTTTGCAATGACACAAAAGGGTGCATTAGAGAGGGAGGGCCGGGAGCCCCAGCAATGGGAGGCTGGAGGCTGGAAAAGAAGGGGCTGAAACTGTCCCAGGGAAGAGCAATTTAAATGCAACCAAGGCACGAACACATCTGCCAGGGACAGGTTTTCATTCACACGGAATGAAGGACCCACGATGCAGGTGCCTTGCCTGGCTGGTGGGGCAGGGGAAGGAAATCCCCACAGAGGCCGGCTGGGTTTTCATTTCATTTGTTTTGTGGTCTGAAGTAGGAACCACTGGACCTTCCCATAATGCCTTGTCCTTGGAGCTGGGGCGAGAATTGGTGTGAAGACTCTTGGGGCTGAGGATGGAGTGGAGAGGGCAGAGCTGAGTCGCAGTCAATGGCAGGAGGGGAGAAGCAGCAGCTGCAAGTCAGGGAAGCCTGGACCTCAGGCGTCTCTCGGGCTCTCTCGTGGGCTCCTGAACTCCCAGGGGCCCAGGCCATCCTGGATTATGGAAATGTAGTGGAACCCCTCAACCAGGGCTCCGGGGCTGAGAGAGAATAGGAAGGCCCCTTGAGTTAACACAGTCATCTAACCTTATAGTCAGAGACACTGAGGTCTGGGGCAGCAAGGGATGAAGGGCCCGGGGAGTTACTGTCTAAGCTCACGCATTAAGTCAGGGTCTAAGCTGGGCACAACCCCAGGCAGCCCGCAAAGAACAAATAAACTCTTTCCCTCCCACCACCTCTGTCCCCTGACCAGGGCATCGCACTTCTGGACAACATGGTAGCCCAGGTCCAACTCTGGAGAAGCTGTGTGTGGCCACTGCAGCTGAGCATGCTGTCTCCGGAGGCACCAGTTAAAGCCTACACTGCCTGGAAGGACTGAGCCAGCCCCTCTCCCATCAGCTCAGCAGCAGGGACCCCTCTCAGACCAGGCAGAGATGCTGCAGTGGTGGAGGGTGAGCCCGGCAGGGGGCCTGGAAGCAGAGCAAGCCCAGGAGGGAGCTGGGCAGCAGCACCAGGGTGAGGGCAGGGAGCCTGAGCGCTGGCGGGCACAGGAGGGAGAGAGGGGCAATGGTGCCTGGGAAATGCTGTGTCTCAGGGGCCACACTCTGCAGAGCAGAGCCCCTGGGTATGGAGTGAGTAGAAGGAATTGGGCCCTGCTCCATGCACATGGCTTCATGGCCCTGGGCAGCCAGTAACCTCACTGCTCTGAGCCAGGGATAGGGATAAGAATGCCCCCTCCCAGGACTGCAGTGGGCAGTGAGATAACCTTACCTTAACCAGGTAACGTGCTCAGCCCAGCACCTGATAGACAGGCTCCCTCCCCAATCCCCAGCCAGGACACACCAGGGATCAGGATTGTGGGCTCCCCAGTCCCACATCTGGGAATTGTGTCCTGCTTCACTGCCTCTGCCTGTGTGACCCAGGGCAAGTCCCTCTCCTTCCCTGAGCCTCAGTTTTCTCTTCTACGAAATGAGGATCACAATAGCACCTCCCACCGAGTCTTGGCTATTCCTTGTGATGTATCCGACACAGGCACACACGACTCACCTGCTCAGAGGCAGCCAGCACCAGCCCAAGCTGGGGATCTGGAGGGACTTTTTAGACAGTGAAGTCTGGTCCCATAGGAGGGGTGGTCATCATTCCCACCACTCTCATTCACTTTGCACGTCCCTTCCAGAGTCCCACATGGGGATCAGACCCAGTCCATTTCCTGTGGCTGAAACAGAACATTGCAGGCTGGGTAATTTATCCACAATAGAGGTTTATTTGGTTCATGGTTCTGGAGGCTGGAGAGTCCAAGAGCGAGGGGCCGCACTAGGTGAGGGTCTTTTTACTGTGTCATAACATGGCATAACGCATCGCATGGTGAGGTTGCGTGAGAGAGGGCAAGAAGGGGCTTGCCTGGTTTTTATAGCAAACCCACTCCCACCATAACAACATAAACTCGTTCACATTAATCCATGAATCACTTAAAGGTCCCTCTTCTCCACATCGTTGCATGAGGGATTAAGGTTCCAACACAAGGAACTTTGGGAAACACTAGAACCGCAGCACTGTCCTCCACTGTCCTTCTCCCGCCCCCACCATCCTGGACCTCTCTGTCGGGCTTTGAGAGAGCTGGTCTGGCCTGAACTCAATCTGCAGAAATAGATTCTCCATATCCATGAAAACTGCTCATTTACTTTGAGAATCCCACAGAAAACGTTCTTCTCCTCCACCTGTCCGCCTCCACCTGTTAAGGATGGGACCCCGGCATGCTAGCATTCTTCTCTTCTGCCTCTATGAGCAAATATGTGATAAGAGCTCATCGCCGACTCTTTGACAAAGTGCGGCATGTCCTTTCAAGCCACATTATGTTAAAAGCAGAATTTCCTCTCTACTAGCTGATAACCTTTTCTGTTTCCTTTCTTTTAAATGAGAGCATCTCTTGTTCATTCTTGTGGAAGATCTGTTAAGGGAGATAAATCGAGAAAAGTCATGAACTCCTGGAAAGATACAGCTCTTTAAAGAGAATTCATTTGCAGCATGAAATCTCTGAGTGAGTGTGTAAACCATGGAGTCATTACAATGTGGTGGAATTGCTTTGCTTTGAATTGAATTGTGGCTCTGTCTCTAAGTACCTGCTCCTGTCTCTGTTTCAAGCCGTGATACTCAGAGAAGCATGCAGGCCTGGCTGGGTCTGTCAGCCCTGCCTTGGACCCGTAGAGTAATCAGGTCAACTCCCACCTGTGCCGTCTCACCTGGACAGGGGGGAGACTGAGGGAGGCCTCAATTCTGAATGCTCCCCTAATTCCCTGTCTGCTTGAGCCTTGACCCTACTCTGGCCAGCTCTGTCTTTAGTAAGGTGACCAACCATTTCTAGTTGGCAGGGACCGAGGGCATTCCTAGTATGAGGCACTTCCAGCGCTGAAACCAGGGAAATCCCAGGCCACGAGGGTGAGTTGGTCACCCTATTCCTTGGGGCTCCTGACACTATCACCAGTGAGCCAAGACCTGTGAGAAAAGGCAGGCAAGGCCACCATGCCCTGCCCGGAGAGGCCAGCATGGTGCTGTGTTCGCTGACATGCACAGGAGAAGAGCCAGGTTCTTTAGGGAGGTGTGGCAGGCAAAGGCGACAGAGCCTCCCAGCTGGGTGCGTGGGGCTCTGTCCTCTTTCTGCATGGTCCCATTTACTCCTCACAACCAGTGTCAGGTGACAACACTGAGGCTCAGAGCAGACGCATCACAGTGACTCATACCAGCCGTCACAGTGTGGTGGCATCGTTCTGCTTTGAATTGAGCTGTAACTCTGTCTCCAAGCACCGCTTCTGCGTGTGCATCCCATCTCTGGCTCCCACCCCAGGGGGCCTCCAGAGCTCAGTGGAGCCACAGGAGCCCGTGCTATGTGCAGGGGCTGAGGCAGGAGCTGGCAGGTGCTGAGTGAGTGGGGCAAGGTCCTAGTCACTCCACTCAGCCCTCTAGTGTCCAGCACAGATCTTGGCACAGACAGCAGGGGTGCCTTGCCATGTGCACCTGCTGAAGGGGCATGGGTGGGGAAAGGGAGGCCCCTCCTCCTCGGCCAGTCTCTCTAGGTCCCAGACGCCCTCACTGCCTCCACCCACACAGAGGCTTCAGCTCCCCACCAGGGCCTGCTTGGAGTTTGACAAGCACCAAGCGTTTCACTTCAAAATTCATGGAATCACCGCATCCAAAAGGGCCCTTTGTCTCGGCTCCGACCGTGAGCCCGCTGTGGCAGGCCCAGTGTGTGGCATGCACAGCTGCAGCCAGCCCTGTGCGCTACCCCAAGAGAATGTTATCTCTGCCCACCTCGCTTCTTCCCTTCTCCGGCCCTCAGAGGGGAACGTTATCTTCGTGAGACGTCTCCGAAGTCGTGGGGGCTACGGAATCAGGAGAGGCGAGACTGGAGAGGATCTGGAAAGATAAATTCATCTGTATAATGAAGATGGGGAGGGAGCAGGGGAAGCTGCGAAGAGGGGAGGAGGCAGAGGAAAGAGCCGGCAAGCACCTCGTCAGGGGACGGTTTGCAGATGTGGCTTCGTGAAGGGCTCTACAGCTTTCCATGGTGAGCATGGAGGCTTCAGGAGATGCTACAGTGGCTAAAGGCTATACGCCCTTAATTTTCCCCAATAAAAGCTGAAATTCCTCCCCAGGTTATTTCAGGCTGCTGGACCATTTCTTCTCATTGTCCGCCGTGTTGAAGCAGGGCCTCCTGAGGCTGCAGTGGCAGCCAGTTGCCCTGTTCTGTGCAGCTTCAAAAGGGCTGGGGTGGGTTCACACGTGGCCCCGTGCCAGAAACATCGTGGGCGCCCAAGTAACAAATGAGCAACTGTCCTACAGGGACAATCGACTTCACACTGACGGAGCGCCTTCGTGAGGGTCAGGCGACCGTCAGGTCAGTGGTGATCACCATCCCACAGATGAGAAGACAGAGAGGGGAGGAGACTGGCCCCTTGACTTCCTGGGTCACCGTAGGGAAGGAGCTTCACCTTCTCATCTTCCAGGAAGGAAGTAGGAGAACAGGAACCGAAGGGAATGCGAGGGGCCAGGAGCTGCCAGAAGCCCTCGTGCATAAGATTGCATCCTCAGGACCTCCCCTGGAGTAGGTATTCTCTCCATTTTACAGACAAGGAAACTGCTACGCAGAAAGGCTTAGAGACGACTGACGTCACACCGCAGGTGTGTGGCAGGGCCAGATTCAAACACAGGTCCCTCTGAATCTCTCTACCCCTCGAAGGCTACTTCAGGGCCTGGCACCCCCACGTGGTTGGGATAGAAGCTGGGGCAGAGGTTTGAGGATAGCTCTGGCTGCTGGCTATGCGTTCTCAGGCCCACAGGCAAATAAGAGACTTCAGAAAGCTGGGCATCGGGAGTGGCCTTAGGAGCCCTGTGACAGTGGTCGGGAAGGGAGAGCTCAGGACTGAGCAGCAAGAAGACAGGGGAGACATGAGGCTTGGGAGAGTCGGCTCACGGCTGGGGAGGTGCAGGGCCCTGGCCGCAGGATGGGCTCGGGAGCAGGGGCTGGACCCCATGACGTGGGTCCACAGAACCAGGCAGGTCCCCAGACCCAGAGGAGGCAAGGTCAGGGAGAGGTTCACAGGCAGAAATAGCTAAGTCCAGGCTCCTGACCAGCCTCTAACTTCCACGTGGGCCCGCCCTCACCAGTCATGGTCTTCCCAGAGGCCAGAAGAAATCTGTAAACAGGTAAAGCACATCCCTTTCAGCTCAGGTCCCAGCCTTCCACAGCTTCCAGTCTTACTCAAGGGAAAATCCAAATCTGCTGGCGCAGCCCGCAAGCCCCTTCCCCATCTGTCCCCTCTGACCTGTCCCCCTCCCTCTTCCCTACTCACCAAGCTACAGCCATACTGATTTCCTGCTCTTCCCCAAAGAAGTGAAGCCTGCTGCAGCCTCAGGGCCTTTGCACATGCTCTTCCCTCTGTGTGGTTGATTTGCACCTGGCTGATGTCTGTGCCTTTGCATGGACTGGGAGCTGAGGACACTGGGAGCCTGGGAAGGGTTTCTAGCTAGGAGAAACCCAGCCAGCTTTGTGCTGCTGAAGGGCATTCTGCAGTGGACTGGAGGGTGGTCTGGAGGGGATGAGCTTGAGGGCAGAGATGGTGCTCAGCGTGTGGAGCTGGGACACGTGGCGGGCTCGGCTGAAGGACCAGGGAGATAACGAATGGTCAGGATGGGCCCCAGGTCAGGTAGGGAGAAGCAGCCAGGTCAGTGGGTTGGATGTGGAAATGTCTGAACTGCAGAACAAGCCTCCTTCCAACCCCCAATTAACATGGAGGTCTCTGCAGCTAGGCAGAGGTGGATTGGCAGGTGGGGACCAGAGGCTGTGGGGTCCAGGAGCTGGGATGGAGGGAGAGTCAGCCAAGACATTACCATAGGCATGTGAGAAAGAAACATTCTGTCAACTGGCACAGAGAAATCCAACAGGGCTCAGAAGTTTCCTCCCACCAGCAAGCCGAAGGGGAAACACATTTGTTTCCACGACCCATTGGTGTTTTTCAGGAGACAATGTGATTGTTTTTGCGCTAGAAAGTCATGAATGGAAAATTCCACCTGCCAAGACAGCCAGTTCCTCCCCCAGGCACTAAAGGATAAAGAAAGCTTCTGTCTCCAGCTTCCTGGTGACTGGAGTTCCACCACGGGAGCCCCGTCCTATGGCTTGGGGCTTTGTCATTTGTTAAAATGCAAACAACGTCACCGAAGTCATGTCTTCAACACAAACATTTTCATTAATTCAACAAATATTTATCGAGCTCTTGCTTTAAATCAGGCAGTACCTGGAGGCTGAGAACAGAGAAATTAATTAAGACTTGTCCAGAACGAAGCCTTCAAGGAACTGGCAAGCTCTGTGTGTTTTGGGGGTGGAGGGGGTGCCGTAAGAAAACTTGACCATATGGTGCTGCAAAATGGTGGTGGGGATAAGGTGCCAAGGGGACCCCCAGCAGAAGTGACTCATTTCACACTTGCCGAAGGCGAGGCTTCAGCTGGGATCTGGAGGATGAGGGGTGGGGAGCCGGGTGGGGCTGAGAATCCCAGGTTGAGGGCGCCATAAGAATAATGAACGGAGTCATGCAGCATGAGGGTGCGTGGCCTGGGCCAGAGCCTGAAGCCCTGGGCCAAGTGACACCTGGGCAGACCTACCTCTGCAGGCCTGGTCAGCTGAGCCAGTAAATTCCTACCTTTCTTTAAGCCGATCTGTTGTCAACTTTCCCCTGAAAGTCCCTAAGGGGTCCAGGTCATTTCTAGAGGACAGAGTTTGACAGAGCTGGAAAAGCAGCAGTGAGTAGGTGCCTGAAACCCCCATGTGCAAGGGTTGGTCAAGCCCCTTTCCTTTTGATTCCGTCTCCATCTACACTTCTTGTCAAGAGAAAATATCCTGCCCTGGAAAATGTCTCCTGATCCCTGATGTTGGCCTGGCACCTGCATAGCAAGTCCTGGTCGGGCAGCCCGGGTGTCAGAAGCGCTGGCTTCTGTCCCAACACTGCCCGCTGCCTAGCTGTAGGGCCTGGGCTGAGTTACGCCCACTCTCTGAGCCTAGATTTGTGATTCGTCCATCAGCCATAGACTGTGAGGTCTCTGAGGGAAGAGGCAATCTCCAACCCATTTGTGTGGTCCCCCAAAGCTGATGCAGTCCTGCCACAGAGCAGGCGTGAACAGGGCTGTTGGCCAATCCGTGTGGGAGCTGCACCTTCCTGTTCTAACCTCCTGGGATCAGGGCCATGTGTGATACTGACATGGACAGCTGTAGTTCCCTCTGTCCACCCTGAGAGCCTCCTGGAGACCTCAACCCCAGGACAGAGCAGGAGGAAATCTTGCAAGAGAAATTTCCTATGCAGGCTGCACTGCAGAGGCCTCAGTTCGAACACAGCATCTATCTCTGTTGAAGGCTCGCTGAGCCACAGACTGTAGGGTGAGAAAAATTCCCCCCAAAAGCTCAACCCTTTACTCTCCAGCTGCAGCCGACCTGGGCAGCCAGGGTCAGGAACTCTCCTCAGTTTTCTCATTGCAGGCAATGATGAGGGGGCCACGCGTGGGGACAAGACTCACAGAATAAAATAAACCCATGGCGTTCAGCCCAGGTTAGTCCTTAAAACCAGCAGAGCCAGTTCCCCGCCCTGCGGTGTGGTGTGGCCTGCACCTCTGAGTACTCAGAGGGTAGGGATGTGTGCCTGTATTCACAGGCAGGAGCAGGGAAGGTGGAGGTGGGAGCATCCACCTTCTCCCCTTGGGAGAGCACTGGAGGGGTGTGAGGGGCCCGATGTCTGAGCTGGTGATCTCAGGCCCACGCTTGATTCTTGTAGAACTCAGGTGCCTCTCGTGGAGCAGATGGCATGCAGAAGACAGGACCTTGGAGTAGGGTACAATAGCCTTGGGAGGGTTCATGGTTAGGAAGAGAGATTCTATCACTCATGCCTTCATTTATTCCCTCCCTAGGATCACAAGCAAAGGGGGTTACAGTTGTTCTTGAGGAAGGTAAATAATAAACAGGGAATTACACAAAACATTTTATGGCCCAATTGTAATAACGGCCATGAAGGGAAGCCAATTTCAGATGATTAAGAGATGTTAGTAAGAGAAAGAGAGTAATTGACACTTATTTTACATACAACTTAACCCTTACGACCGGTCAGCAAGGCAAGTGCAACACAGGAAGCTGAACCTCGGAGAAGGCTGGCCACTGGCGCAAAGCCATGCATCTTACAAGGGGTAGCGTTGAGATCCTGGACCAGCTAGGTCTGTCCTCAGGGCCAGTGCCCCTGGAACCATGCGGGAGTTCCTCCCAGGGACAAGGAGAAGAAGAAGGCAAGGCTACCATGGAGCAGTCAGCACAGCATCCCCACAGGACCAGACCTGGAGAAACTGACCAGCTTGGTCCAGGAGTGTTATTCTACACAAGGACCAGTCCGGAGCTGGATTTCGTTTCTGGAAAAATATTTCTAGCTCAGCAGCCCCAAAGTTTCAGAAGATGAGCATGTCAGGGCGAACTCTGCTTTCTGACTGCAAACAGTCTTGCTGCCCACTCAGAGACCCGTCCACGGAGGTAGGAAAGTCAGGGATCTCCTTCCCCAAAGAACAGGCTGAGCCTCCCACGGCCAAATCCCAGAATGGCTTTCAAGGAAGAGAATCCCAGTGTGTTTGTATCCCGCCTCTGTCTCTTACTGGCTGTGTGATCTCAGGCAAATGACTTTGTGAGCCTGTATATTTTCATATGTAAAATAGATTTACTCATAATAACATACAGAGCCTACACTCAACATATGTGGATTTCCTTTCTCTTTTACTGTCAACTAGATCGCATAGAGTATGGTTTTCCCATCTCTGCCCCTCCATTGTGACCTCCTAGAAGCCCCCACCCATGGCTAGTCACAGCAATGAGCTGAAATCAGATGAAATGAAGCCAACGGGAGAGTGGTGCGGGTTTCCATGGTGATGAGCACGTAGCTGGTTGTCCTGAGAGCCCTCCTGGATGCTCTTAGAGAGATGACAGGCTCACTCTCAGTGGGGACCAGAGGATCCAAATGACCTCCTTGGTGTGGGACTCACCACAGGGGATTTATTTAATTCTTTGAGTCTACAGCAGAGGTGGGGAGACAGGACAAGGTCCAGACAAGGAAGGCATCAACTTAGGGTGATGGCCGAGGCTTGCGTTCAGACAGTCAGAGGAGACAGGCCTTCCATTCCAGCTCCATGCCCGCCTTAAGGATGGGGACACTGAGGCCCACTGGGGAAAGGGACCTTACCCCAACCAGCTCCCTGTCAGGGCAGAACTGACAGCAGAGGCTGCATTTCCTCCCTGACCCTCCTTGGGGTGGGCCCATATCCCAGCTGATGATAATAAGCTCCCATTTCTGAGTGCTTTCTAGGTGCTCAGCCTTGCACTAGACATTTTGTGAACATTTGCTTATGTGATCCTCTAATAGCTCCGCAGGAAGATTGTATTATTACCATCAGGTGAAACTGGAGACAGTTAGAGGTCTGCGATGGGAGGTGGATAATGAGTCATTGGCATAGAAGTGGGGTCTGGAGACAAAGCTTATGGTCCCACCACGTGTCTTAATGGACAGGGTGTCAGGAGCTCAGGGACTTTACAGATCTCATCTCATCAATGTTCAACCAGTCTCCAAAAAGGGACATTGTTCTCTCCATTTTGCAGGTTAGGAAACTGAGGCTCAAGGCGTTTAGGCATGAACACTTAAGGTTACACAGCACTGATAACCATGCCTCAGACTGCTTGGGTGCTTACCTGCAGCCAGGCTCTCTTCCAAGTGTGATTTGTGTGTGCTAAGCTCAGACCTCACAACCACCTAATAAGGGAGGGACAACAGTGATTTCCACTTTACAGAGGAGGAAACACAAGCACAGAGAGGTTAATTGACTTGCCAAGGTCACAGAGCTTGTCAATGGCAGAGAATCAACCCCAGGCCATCTAATGCCAGAGCCTATGCTGTAACCCGGGGCTGCAGCTGCCTCACAAGCTGACAAATGACAGAGCAGGAACCAAGCCCCAGGCAGCCTGGTTCCAGAGCTCACGCCCTGTCCATGACCCAAGGCCAGAGACTGAGGCGAGAGACTCAGGCCAGGGCACCAGCTAGGGCTGACTGGGCTGTGGTTGGCAATTCTTCAAACTCCACTCAGACTTGAGAGGAGGATCTGCTGCAGAGGAGGCCCAAAGGAGAGGCCTGAACCCAGAGCTAGTCCTCCAGCACCCCCAGGGCAGGGACCATGCCTGCATCTGATGAGAGTGTGAGCTTACACAGACACCTGGGCTGCAGTCAGTGGGGCCAAAATCTTCCTAGTGCCTTGTTAAAATACAGATTGAGGCCAGGCGTGGTGGCTCACACTTGTAATCCCAGCACTTTCGGAGGTCAAGGCAAGTGGATCACGAGGTCAGAAGTTCAAGACCAGCCTGGCCAAGATGGTGAAACGCTGTCTCTATTGAAACTACAAAATTAGCCAGGTACAGTGGCAGGTGCCATAATCCCAACTACTCGGGGGGGCTGAGGCAGGAGAATCGTTTGAACCCAGGCAGCAGAGGTTTCAGAGATGGCTCCACTGCACTGCAGCCTGAGCAACAGAGTGAGACTCCATCTCAAATAATAATAGTAATAATATAGACTCATACCAGAGCAAGGAATTAGTTTCTCCTGAGGTGGGGGTCAGGAATTTGCATTTTTGAAAGCCCTGCGGGTAATTCTGAAGAAGGAATCAGACCCCAGCTGATATGGTTTGGCTGTGTCCCCACCCAAATCTCATCTTCAATAGTACCTCCCATAATTCCCTCGTGTTGTGGGAGGGACTGGGTGGGCAATAATTGAATCATGAGGTCAGTTTCTCCCATACTGTTCTCATGGTAGAATAGGTCTCACAAGATCTGATGGGTTTTTTTTCTTTTTTCTTTTTCTTTTTTTTTTTCGTGGGGGGACAGAGTCTTGCTCTGTCACCCAGGCTCCAGGTTAGAGGGCAGTGGTGCCATCTTGGCTCACTGCAACCTCCATCTTCCAGGTCCAAGCAATTCTCCTGCCTCAGCCTCCCGAGTAGCTGGGATTACAGGCACCCACCACCACCAGGTAATTTTTGTATTTTTAGTACAGATCAGGTTTTACCATCTTGGGCAGGTTGGTCTCGAACTCCTGACCTCTTGATCCACCCACCTCAGCCTCCCAAAGTGCTGGGATTACAGGCATGAGCCACTGCACCTGGATGCTATGATGATTTTATAAGAGGTTTCCCCTTTCTCTCAGCTCTCACTCTTCTCTTGCCTGCCACCATGTGAGATGTGCCTTTCTCCTTCTGCTGTGATGGTGAGGCCTCCCCAGCCATGAGGAACTGTGAGCCCAGTAAACCTTTTTCCCTATAGATTACCAGTCTCAGGTATGTCTTTATCAGCAGTGTGAAAGTGGACTAATACACCAGCCGTCCTCTGGGAACCAGTATCCAAAGTCCAACTTGGACAGTCTGAGGTGTCAGACACTAAAGGTAATAGAGACATTGATCACAGCAACATAGTTCCCCTGCCCAAAATTTTGCCTGTCCTGCTGTGTGTCTTCTCTTCTAAGCCCTCACAGTGCTCCTTAAATGAAGGGACTCTTACAATCCCATTTTATAGATGAGGAAACTGAGACCCCGAGTCACCCAGCTGGTGAGTGCAGCCACTGGGATTCACACTGAGCCTGGCTCGGGTTTCTCCCTCCATCCCTCTCTGCAGGAGGCTCAGAAGACAGAGGGTGAGGAAGGCAGTGGGGCTGGTGGGGGCGGAGGGAGCTGGCTCCTGCCGGGGCTTCCACCCAGATAATTGTCTGCCAAAACTCAGGAAACAGCCTTTGCCTCGGCTTTTCTGTCCATTCCCAAGTGGGAATTTAACTTTCAGAAAGACCTAATAGCCTAAAAGAAGATTTGTACATGAAGAAGCAGCTTTTCCTCAAGGTTAGTGTAAGCATGGCTGAGGGAGCAGAAGAGATTTATAAGAAATTCTGCCAGGCCTGAAATAAACACAAACAGCTCGGCTGAATAGAAGACACACAGGAGATGCTGGCCAGATATCCTCTGGGCACGGGGACTTGGAAGGTGCCCAGGCCTCCCCTCTCTATCCGGCTGGGTCCTAGACCCCCTCCACGTATATACATCTAGCAGTGAAATCATCATTACTCCAGAGGCAGTTCCCTCCATTAGTCCAAACTAATAAGGAGAAGGTGCTGATCCTCTGATAATTTCTCTTCATTGAGGAAATGGGGTGGGGCAAGGAACAAGCCATAGAATTTGGAACCAACCATCCCAGCACCCCAAGAATTGTGTGACAAGTGACTTGAAGCAAGGCACCTCACTGGGCCTCAGGTTCACTTCTTTTTAAAGTAAACAATGATTAGTGAGAAGACAGAAGGAGGCAGCACATATAAAGGGTGCAAGATGGTGTCTGGCACATAGTAGGTGCTCAATAAATGTGAGTTCCTTTCTACCAGCCTGAGAGGACTTTGTAGACATTTATGCCTTGTCTGTGGAATGGTGACTAATGTAGGGTTGCTTGACCAGGGGTATGTAACATGTGTGTGAGTGCGTGTGAGTGTGCATGTGAGTGTGCATGTGTGTGTGCATGTGTGTGTATGTGTGTGAGTGTACATTAATGTGTGCGTGAGAGAGAGAATGTGTGTAGGGGTGGAAAAGTATGATGCAGTTATACCCCTACGACAAAAGATCAGTTAACAAGAGAAAAGCATAGCATATTTATTTAATCCAAGTCTTGCATAACACAGGCAGCTTTGGAAATGAAGACCCCACCACCCAGGGGAAATGACCTATTTTTATGCCTAAGATAGTTGAAGATGGGCAGCTGTGTAGAAACATGATTGGACAAAGGGGTGTGAGGCAATGGGAATAGACTGAGGGAGGCAACCCAGCCAGTCCTGTCTGTTCAGATTCCTCCTGGGGCCAGGCGTCTGAAGTGGGGTGGATCACCTGAGGTCAGGATTTTGAGACCAGCCTGGCCAACATGGTGAAACCCCCATCTCTACTTAAAAATATATATATACAAAAATTAGCCAGGCCTATAATCCTAGCTACTCAGGAGGCTGAGACAGAAGAATTGCTTGAACCCGGGAGGCAGAGGTTGCAGTGAGCCAAGGTCATGCCACTGCACCCCAGCCTGAGAGACAGAGGACTGCATCTCAAAAAAAAAGAGAGAGAGATTCCTCTTGGCCTCTCCGTGTAGGTTGGCTTCCCCCATAACCTGGGTATGAGGCAGGACCCTCTTCAAGGGAGAGCAGAGAGAGTGGCCCATCTACGTTTTATGGCTAGCTTTGCAGGATAGGAGTTCTAGTTTTAATGACCCTCCACAGGGAAGAGGAATTCTGGTATCTATGACTCAGATTCACTCTGCAGAAGAGGGGCAGGAGCTAGGAAGATAGGTGGTCAGAAAGACTCTGCTTTTGAGACCTCTGATCTCCTTTAATTCAAAGTGCTCAGCATGCCAAAGCACCATACTTTGGAGTGTCATGTTCTGAGCCCCAGCACGTGCTGTGGGGGAGGGGGGGTGTGCATGAGTGTTTATGCTGTGTATGCACATGTTGTGTTTGAGATCTGAGGATGAGACTTGGAGCAAAGAGATGAAGTGGTGAATGGTGATATGGGGAAGTTAGTCTGAGGCCTACTCAGAGAAGACTGGGCGCTGTGTAATCCCTGGGGAAATCTTAGCCGTGATTGTTTTAATATGAAATAAAGGGCATTTTTTCCTGAACTGGTAGTAAAGTTAACATCCAAGATGTCCCCATCTGACACTTTGATTCCTTATCCCCCTGGGAATACATAGCAGTGAGCCATGGAGCAGACACGGACCATCTTCCCAGGTGTCGTCTTTCTCCAAGATGACAGAAATGCCCATTACTTAATGTTTTAAACACCACGGATACATCATGCAGGGAGAAATGCGCATAGATTTGAAGTACTATATTGAAACGCCTCAAAAAGAAGTGTGCCAGTGGCTGGCTGCTTCAGCTTCTGCTCTAGGCACCCTGGGGATACAGAAGCCCCACCTGGATATAAGAAGTGCATAGTGGATTCCTTTTGGAATCCTTGGATTTCAGGAAATGAGTGTCAGAGAAGGACACGGAGCAGGGCCACAATTTGCTCTCAATGGGGTTTTAGAAAACTGTCTCCGCAACTAGAAGTGGGGGAACCTGGAGGTCTGCAAGGAACCTTTGCAATAATACAGGTGAGGGGTGAGCAAAGCCTTGAAGCAGGACAGAGCAAAGGAAAAAGAAGAGAGGGGACTGGACAGATATGTGGGGAAACTGCTCTTGGACTCTGGACTTGGGAGTGGAAAAATGTGGGACATGGGGAGGGAGGAATTCAGTCTGACTGGGGATTTAACCCTCGATGCTCACTTGAGTAGTCTCAGAGTCGCAGGAAGATGGGCAAGTGTCCATTCTGCAGGTGGGGGTAACAAAAGGGTGGAAGTCCCCAACTGTTGTAAGCCACCAATCCTTTATTCAACTAGGACAACTACATTGTTGAAATAGAAAGGGGAACACTATTCAATTCATTCTGTGGGGCCAGTATTTTTCTGATACAAAAACTAGAAAAAGAGCTAATATGTAAATAAAACTGTAGAATAATATTCTTTACAAATATAGATGCGAAAATCCTCAACAAAACACTAACAAACTGAATGTGAATAAGATTATACACCATAAGCAAGTAAGATTTATCCCAAGAATGCAAATTTGGCTTAATATATGAAAAGCAGGGTGATGTCACCAAAATGGCAGAGTAGAAGCAATCTGGCTTCATTCTCCTCCACAGAAAACCAAAACAAGCATCCAGTGCCAAGATTACACCATATTCCAAAACTCAAATATGAGACTGAGACAATCCCTAGGGCCACAGAAAGATTTAAAAATCTGAGCAGATGGTAAAAGAAATGGACTTCTCTATCCACAACACCTCTCCTCAATCTGCCAGTCACCATGTATGGAAAATTCCTCCTGTACTCACAGTTTTTACACTGGAATAAGAGAGATCAAGATCAATAGCCAGCTTTCCCACCATCTTGGGTTACCTTACAGGAAAGCCATTCTTGCCACAACCCATGGGAAGCAATTAGAAGTGCCTGTAGGGAGAAAAACCACTGAAGGCAGCCAGAGACAAAGGCAGGAGGCAAAACCAGCAACCCCACCTGAAAAGCTCTGCTCTTTATCTCAGCCAAAGGAAAAGTCAAATCATAGTGGCTGTTCAACAGCACCACATTGTAGGAGACAGGTTTCATGGGTCTTCTTGGTATAAACTGACTTTCCCACATAGCTGGGGCATCCCCTTTGGAAGCATCCTTCCCAAACAGCTGGGTATCCCCTTTGAGACATGCTTCCCCCGATTTGGGATCAGCAGTGCTCTGAATATTTGCAAGGGCTGAGGCAATCCTGGGTGTAAGGCACCATCTAGTGCCAAAGAGGAGAAAGAGATCAAAGATTAAGGGACCTCAATAGGCAATTGCAGAGAACATCTAAGTAAACATGCCCTATACCTTAGAAAGACAAAAACAAGCCAGACAGCAAAGACTGGAATAAATAATTCTTCAATGCAGTCATGGGCATAGTCCACAAGAAACAACAGCAAACACGGAACTATGACCCCCTCAAATGGACAAAGCAGGGAGCCAGTAACCAACCCTAACAAGATAGTAATGTGTGAGGTCTCAGATTGAAAATTGAAAATACAGTTCTAAGGAAACTCAGTGAACTTCAAGATAACACAGAAAAGTAGCTCAGGAATTTATCAGAGAAATTTAACAAAGAGATTGAAATAATATTAAAAAAAAAAAAAAACAGAAATCCTAGAACTGAGAAATACATTTGCTGACCTGAAAAATTCATTAAAGGCTCTCAACAGCAGAATTGATAAAGCAGAAGAGAGAATCAGTGAGCTCAAAGACGGGTTATTTGAAAATACACTGTAAGGTTTGGGGGGTGGATCCAAGATGGCGGAATCGGAACAGCTCTGGAGTGCAGTTCCCAGCAAAAACACTACATTTGCAAATGAGTTATTACTGCCCACAGACCAGGAGATTCCCGGGCTGAAAAGCACCATGAGTTTCCAGCACAGCTGTTTGAGCTGGCACAGCAGGTCTCCACACAAAAACTCATACAAATCTGGGCAGCCATTTCAACTGAAGCCTGGAAGGCCTGGGAGACAGACCTGTCCATTCAACTGAAAAAAGGGGGCTGAATCAGGGAGCCAGGTGATCCGGCTCGGCAGGTCAGAACCCCACAAAGATGAGCAATCTGAAACGCTCTGAATTGAGAGTTTCACAGCAAGCGCAGCTAGACCTGGGATGGTCCAGCTCTGTTGGGGGAAGGGTGTCTGCCATTACTGAGGCAGTCCACCATCAGGGCAGTCCCAGTCCACCATCACTGAGGCAGTCCACCATTACAGAGGCAGACCGTAATTACCGAGGCGGTTCTAACTATGCCTCTATAAACAAAACCGTAAGGAAATTGACACAGCAGCTAGGCAGAGCCCACAGCAGCTCAGCAACACCTCTGCTGGCAGACTGTGACTAGGCTACCTCCTAGCTGGGAAGGGCACCTCTGAAAAAGGGCAGCAGCATGTCAGGAACTTATAATAAAAGCCCCACCTTCCCAGGACAGAGCACCTGGGAAAAAAAGTGGTTATGAGTTCCCCTGCA